AATCAGCCCCCAGAGCAGCCAGGAGTGATCCCCTGGGGAATGTTTAATCCCTGCCACTTGGAGGCTGTGGGATCTGCACATCCAAATCCTTGAGGATGGGACAGAGCTGGATGTAGAGGGGAAAAAAACTGCTCCAGCTGTTCCCTGAAATATCAACTCCTGATTCCCTGGATTTGGGGAGTGCTGGGACTTGTCCCAGCAAATTCCCTAAAATATCAAGTGCTGCTGGTTCCCTGGGTTTGGGGATTTGTCCCAGCTTTGTCAGGAGGTTTGATCCTCTGTGCCTGGAATTTTTCTGTCCGTGGAAATTCCCCCTGCTCACGTGGGAAGGATTATCTGGGATGGGCCAGGCTGTGTCTGTCCCACACTCCAGGGTGTTCCCGGGTGGAGCTGGCTCCGAAGGCTCTGGAATGTGCAGCTGGGTGGGGAGATTGGGATCCCGACAGGAAAAGGGTTTTTTTCTGATCCCAAATAATTGCAAAAAGGAGATTCCAGTGGAATTAAATGGGAGAGCTGGGAAGAGAAGATTCCAGGGAGATCTCAGAGCTCCTTCCAGGGTTTGAAGGGGCTCAAAAAGGAGGGAGAGGGATTTTTATATGGAATGGAGTGACAGGACAAGAGCTGATTAAGTAAAAGAGGGAAGGTTTAGAGGGGATTTTGGGAAGGAATTCCTGACTGTGAGGGTGGGGAGGGGCTGGGATGGAATTCCCAGAGAATCTGTGGCTGCCTCGTCCCTGGAAGTGTCCAAGGCCAGGTTGGATAGTGGATGAAAGGAATAAAATATGCATAAAAAAATGGATAAAATGCAACCTGGGATAGTGGGAGGTGTCCCTGCCCATGGGATTGGGTGATCCCTTCCAACCCAAACCATTCCAGGATTCCCTGTGCTGGTTTAGATGGGATACTGGGAATAAATCCTTCCCTGGGAGGGTGAGGAGGAGCTGGGATGGAATTCCCAGAGAATCCATGGCTGCTTCATCCCTGGGAGTGTCCAAGACCAGGTTGGAGCAGCCTGGGACAGGGAAAAGTGGAATGGGATGAATTTAAGTCCCCTCCCAACCCAACCCAGTGTTCCAGCCCGTGATTCCATGGATTTGACCCTCTGGAAGTGCCCTGAGCGATTCCTTGGCAGCACTGCTGGGATGTTCCCCTTTCCCAGGAGCCCCGGACCCCTGTGCCCGTTTTCCCTGGATGTGAGCAGCAGGCAGGGCATTCCCTGGCAAATCCTGGAATTCCTGACCATCCATCCCATCTCATCCCATCCCATCGCGGTGTTTTTTCCAGGGGTGCGTCCGGAGCGGCTCCCGGTGTTTGACGAGGAATGCTGGCAGCTGATGGAAGCGTGCTGGGACGGAGACTCCTCGCAGCGGCCTCTCCTGGGAATCGTGCAGCCCATGCTCCAGGGAATCATGGACAGGCTCTGCCGGGCCGGCTCCGAGCATCCCAACAAAGGCCTGGATGACTCCACCTGAAGCGGGGAATTGCGGCAGGATTCGGGAATTGCGGCGGGATTTGGCAATTGCGGCCCCGCCTCTGCCGTGGAGCTCCGAGGCAGCCCCGAGGGGGGGAAAAGGGAGGAGCTCAGAGGGGGCTCAGGGGGGCGAGAGCTCCATCCCAATTCCACCCCGGTATCCCTTTGGAATTGTGCTGCCAGGGGGTGGCAAATCCCTTTGGGATTGTGCTGCCAAGGGGTGGCAGATCCCTGTGGGATTGTGCTGCCAAGGGGATGGAAAATCCAAACCCTTTGGACTCACCAATCCCACCCCAAGCCTTGTGAGTGATCCACGGGATGGGGAAATCCCTTCCCAAAACTCCGGGATAAGGATCCCACTCCTCCCTCAGCCACTGGCAGCAATTCCAGAGCTCTTGGAGGGGAAGGAAAAGGCACAAAACTTTAGGATAAGAAGTGTTGGGAAGCTCCAAGGAGCTGGAAATGTTTACATTGACAGGAGCAAAGCTTCCGTGTTTTTCTACGGGGACTTGGAAAACCCCACCTGGATAAGCTATTGATCCCTAATCCCACCTTTTTCCTCCTCTTTTTCCCTCTCCTTTGCTTCCTTAAATTTCTTGGAATGGCTGGAGAAACCTCCCCTCGATTCCACACTCCTTTCCTCAGAGGTTCCGCTTTGTAGCAGCACAAAAAAAGTCCTTAAAATTACTGATTTTTCCATGGGGAAAGTGCCAAAATTCCTTTTAAGTCAGGATTTGGGGCTTGGAATTCATGGGAATGTCGTGGCAGTTTTAAATTGGGCTGAGTCTGCAGAGGGATATTTTAAAAATGAGGTTTTTCCAGCTTTTTTTTCCCCAAGTTAGAGGGAAGAAAGATCCTTCCTTCTTCTCCTCACTTTCACTCCACGGCTGGAATTTGGTTGGAAAGAATAAAAAAAAAAAATGGGGACATGGGAAGAGGGGGATCATGGGCAAGGTTGTCTTTCCCAAATTCCTGGAAATCCCAGTTTGCTTCCTGCATTTTTGGGGTGGAATTGGGCTGATCTGGAGCAGGAAAGGCCCCTCGGTGGCTCCATGAGGAACTGGGGATTTGGGAATTCTCCTTGGAATTCCCAGGGCAGGTGGAATTCCTTGGCTGAAATTCCAGCTGCCCACGGCCGAGGATGGGTTTAGTGGGAATCTTTTCCTTTCTTTGTGCAATAAATGGATGCAGGAGCTTTTTATGGAGGAAAAAAAAAAACAAAAACAAACCAAAAAACCAAAAAAAATAAAGGCTTTTTTGTGTTCCTTCTCTGCACCTGTGGGGGATGTGCTGGCATTCCCGGCGGGATGGGGATGGATCCAACCTCTCCTGGCATTCCAGAGGGGGTTTTTATGGATCCAATCCCTGTTCTGGCATTCCAGACTGTTACTTTTACGGATCCACTCCCTCTCCTGCTATTCCCAAAGTGCTTTCTATGGATCCAGTTCCTGTGTTGGCATTCCCAAGGTGGTTTTTATGGATCCAAACTCTGCCATTCCAGCGTGGTTTTTTATGGATCCCTCCTTTCTCCTGGCATTCCAAACTGGTTTTTTTAATGGATCCATCCTCTCTCCTGCCATTCCTGGCTGTCCTATCCCAATCCAGCTGCTCGTGCCAAGAATTCCCACCCCTTTTCCAAAGCCAGCATCGAGCCCGGGAGGGGAGAAACCTCTGGAAAACCTCTGGAAAAGCAAGGATGGCCCTTGGGAAAAGCGTCTGGAAAAGCGGGAATGGCCTCGGGCTGGGGCAGGGAGGAGTGTAAATAATAAACTGAATAAAGCCCAAGCTCTGTGTCTGCAATTCCCGAGCTGTTCCTGTGTCCATCCCGGACCATTCCGTGAGGGGTTTTTTGGGAATTTCCCTGTGGAATTTTTGGGGAGGGATTTTGGGGTGGAATGTGGAAATCTCCAGCGTGTCTCACGTTTCTTTTCTCTGCCTGCTTGGAGTTGGTGTTGGGAGATTCTGCAGCTTTTTATCCCTAAAATGAGGGCTTATTTTAATTTTTTTATATTTTTAATTTATTTTTTTCCTAAAAGCAGCCAGTCCTGTCCAGCAGAAATCCAGGCACTACCTACAAGGGTCCAACTTTGCCCTTTCATTTTAGTTAATTACTATAATAATAATAATTTTAATTATTGATGCTTTTTTTTATTACCGCCCCCTGCCGGCCGTTCCCCCACTCCGGAACCTTCCTGCGCGGCCGTGGGGCTCACCCGGCCCCTTCCGCGCGCCGCGCCGGGGCTGCCCTCCTGCTGCCTGATCCCCGCCGCCCATTCCCGGCGCCGCCGCCATTCCCGGTCCTGCCGCCGCGCTGGGAGCGAGCGGCGCCGCTGCCCGAGCCCGCCGGGAGCAGCGGGCGGAGCCGGCCCGGGAGGCGCCGGGAGCTGCGGCGGGGGCGGCGGAAAAAAGCGGCGTCCGCTCCGGCGAACGGAGCGGCGCGGGGCTGCGCAGGCCCCCGCGGGGTCCTTCGGCGACGGGAGCGGAGGGAGCGGGATCGGCGGCGCGATGAACCTGGAGCTGCTCGGTGCGAGCGGGAACGGGAATGCGAGCGGGAAGGGGAATGGGAGAGGGAACGGGAATGAGAATGGGAGCGGGAACGGGGTGCGGCGGCAGCGGCAGGTGGCGGGAATGGCAGTGGGGAGGGAGCTGGGGACGGCGGGGGCGGGACGGCAGCGCGAAGAACCTGGAGCTGCTCGGTGCGAACGGGAATGGGATGGGAACGGGAACGGGAATGGGAATGGGAATGGGAACAGGGGCAGGCACGGAGTCAGAGAGTGGCGCGGCTGGGAATGGGAATGGGAATGAGGAGGGAGCGGGGGGCGGCACCGGCAGCGGGGCTGGGCTGGAGCCGGGGAGCGGCGGGGCCGGGAATGAGTTGGGTGAGCCTGGTGGTGCCGGTACCGCTACCGGAGCGGGGCAGGCTCGGCGGGACTGGGAATGGGTTGGGTGAGCCGGGCAGTGCCGGTACCGGTACCGGAGCGGGGCAGGCTCGGCGGGGCTGGGAATGGGGCTGGGTGAGCGGGGCAGTGCCGGTACCGGAGCGGGACAGGGAGAACCGGGCAGGCTCGGCGGGGCCGGGAATGGGCTGGGTGAGCCTGGTGGTGCCGGTGCCGGTACCGGAGCGGGGCAGGCTCGGAGGGGCCGGGAATGGGTTGGGTGAGCCTGGTGGTGCCGGTGCCGGTACCGGAGCGGGGCAGGCTCGGCGGGGCCGCTCTCGCTGAGGCGCTGCCTTCCCTTTCCTCTGCAGAGTCCTTCGGCCAGAACTACCCCGAGGTAAGCGCTGCCCGCCCCGAGCCGCCCCCGAACCCTCCCCGGGCAGCGGGGGCAGCCTGAGCGGGTCTGACCCGGTACCAGCGGGTCCGAGTGGGTCTGCCCGGGTATGACCCGGGTCTGAGCGGGTCCAAGCCCACCTGCCTGCGTCTGAGTGGGTCTGCCCGCGTCCGAGCCCACCTGCCCAGGTGTGAGTGGGTCCGAGTGGGTCTGACCCGGTGTGAGCAGATCCAAGCCCACCTGCCCAGGTCTGCCCGGGTCTGCCCCAGGTCTGAGCGGGTCCGAGCGCACCTGCCCAGGTGTGAGGTGCCGCTGTCCCCGCAGGAGGCGGACGGGACGCTGGACTGTATCAGCATGGCGCTGACGTGCACCTTCAACCGCTGGGGCACGCTGCTGGCCGTGGGCTGCAACGACGGCAGGATCGTCATCTGGGACTTCCTGACCCGCGGCATCGCCAAGATCATCAGCGCCCACATCCACCCCGTGTGCTCGCTGTGGTGAGCGGGGATCCTGCCGGGATAGCGGGAACACCGCGGGAATCCC